GCGTGAGCGGCGCGTACATGCTGCAGAGCTGTGGCTCCGGTCTGAGCTGCTTCGCGCTCCCGCTCGTGAACTCGGCCGGTACGTCCGTCACGTGCACGACCGAGTCGGACGCGGCGAGCCGCATCGAGAACACGGGCGCAACGGGCGGTGTCACGGGGAGCAGCAGCTGAGAGGCGGGCATACGAATCTATGATGCCATCTGCCGGCGGTGAGGGCCGCAGGAGATGGCGACGAGTACGAGTGAATATCACGATGATCTTTTGTGCGGATGTGTTGGATTTCATGCCATTGTATCGATAGCTCTTCCTCTCTGTTTTAGGCCTCGGTGTGGATCGCGGGCACGACATGAATAGCAGTTATGACTGGAGTTATATTAGCAGTCAAGCAATGGTGTGCTGAAACGCTTCGTCGAGCCCGCTGGTGACTTCTAGAGGTGACATCGCGTTCAACCAGCGCTCGGTGGAGGCGCTCGCCGGCTTTTCAAATTTGAAACTCATGGGTTGCCGGTCTTACTACACATGTAAGTACGTTCACCCTCGTCTCTGCGTATGCTGGCACGAAACGACACCATTTGCCTTCATACCCCATTGTGTGTGGCATATACGTAGAGGTGAGAGTCGCACATTGAGACATGCGCCCCCCCGGTCTGTTGCAATTGTTTGGATGTTTAGTCGCCGAAATGAACAAGCTCGGCCACTTATGACACAGTGACAAACGTAAGTGCAGAAGTAGACATTTGACGAGGATACTTCTATTCAGGTCCATCGGTGTTTTCGCCTGGATCCATTTTGGATGTTATGTAGACAGCTCTTGCACTCCTAGGGTCGGGGTGCACTGTTGCTTCTGTTGCATATTCTACTCTTCAAGCCCATGCACAGGTAGTACTAGAGCTCTGAGCTGAACTTGTTGCCGGAGATTAACCGTTTCGCGCCGGTAAGTAGGAAATTCGCCGGACGCTGCGTGGAGTACATAGTCCGATCGCTGGTTCTCTGTCGTTCGACGCTGACATGTATGGCCACATGCAGATCCTGGCCACACAACATGCTTTGCGGGCGACGGCAGTGCCTTATAGGTATGTAGGAAATATTGTGCGGCTCGTAATTGTTCGCTAACTTGAAATATTTTACTTATTTCCGGGGACTATCCAAGCCATCCGCGAGCTCCGCCGCGAATAGCAGTGTTTTTTACGGCGACTGGTCTCATCGGCGACATGCAAATCCAGGCTGCACAACGAGTGCGTTTGTCAAACAGCTGAGGGCGATGTTTTGAGATACGTCCTATTTGATTCCTGTGCCTGGTTTTAAGTCGTACGCATGCTTGCGAACAAGGTGAGTTCTCAGCTCACCGCAGCATTTGTGTCTAGCGCGTCCGGTGTATCATCCTGACATCTCGTTCAGCCGAACCAAAGGCTTTCTCGGCGTACCGTGCATAACATCTCAGACGTTCTCGTGCTGCGCATAAGATGGCCGATGTGTCCTGAGGTTGACTTATCACGGGCGCATGTCTTCAGAAGTATGGCATGTGCTGGTTCAAGTTGTGCATCCGCTCACGTCGTTGAGTCGGTGAGTTGTAGGTTCCGAGCCAGGCTGCTTGATCGCAAGCTCTTGCTGCCCATGCACCAGACTAGAAGCACGAAATTTCAAAGGGCCGGTCTCCCAAGAAATGTGCAGATACAGTACGTACTTGTCCTTCGGCTCCCTACAGGTGTCTCTGTAGATGTGCGATGACCTACATGGTCGGTATAAAGCGTAAGTCGAGCTGTACGATGGTCAGTCAGCCCGCCCAGTTCTACATAGCAAGCCGAAACATAGACACCCTTGAAGACATGTCGACGAACCAGGATAACAAGCCTATTAGCCGTGAGTTCCGTGTTCGCAGTGGACAGACATATTTTAACCGTATTCATGCCAGACTGGAGGATGGAGCTGAACAATATAGTGCAAAAGAACAAGGCCCTCGGGGAAGTGAAGTGGGACAAGGACTACTCGCCTCATGGCCACCAGGGCCCCTGGACGGCTGTTGTCAGGAGTTGGTGCTCTTCTTCATACGTTGGAGATCGATTTTTCTGATCGCTGACAGTCAATGGCGTCGAGTACGGAACTGGCCAAGGATCCAGCAAGGACGCTGCCAGGGAGGTTGCTGCCAAGATGGCCTACGAAGAAGTAGTCAGGAGGCTCCGTGGGGAGTGATGTGAGTGTAATGTATAGTACGAGTCTTAGTGACGCAGCTAATCTTTGTCACACACAGAGCGTATGGCAATCAGAGCACCAATAATCCGACGTGCCCCAGCACATCTGCGGCCGTGTCGTATCAATTCTCCCATCGATAGAGTCTCGTGTAGATCTCGCACTACCGTAACATTGTAGTCGACTAGTAGAAAATTCAATCCCGCATGGTACTGCTGTCAAGTGACAGCCGACACCTCAAGTTCTAGACATATAGAAAGAAACATTTCAAGTTCACGAAGAGCTCCTACGTAACATCGGGAAAGTCTGGACCGGGCCCTGGACGGCGCTCAAGGGGACCATCTGTCGTGCTTCAGGTACGCATGCAACCGCTGAGCTGTATGTAAAAAACACCATGGGCGTTAAACGATCCTTCCGATGTTCGTGGTAATAGCATCGAGGGTTTTGAGTCCAATTTGCCCTTCAGTGTTCCGCGGTACGATATCAGTTCTGTAGGCGGTAGCTCTAGTAAACATGAGACAAATACATTCTTCATTCCGATACGCTTCCTGTGTCAGAGGTCGAGCTCGCCCCTCGTGGTACCAATAGGCATGGCCATAGCGTGATTTTCCAGTCCGTGCGGCGTATTGAATCCACCAATGCGGCGCAGCCTCCCCAGTGCCAGTTTTCACGACAGCAGCTCATCGTCGCCAACCAGTTCCCCTCTCATCCGGTGACTGCCAGTAACGGAGCGTATGCCTTCTAACATCAAAACGGTCTATTGAGTCGCAGTGCGAGGACAACGGAAACAGCTGAGGCTCATCAGCTTTACATGGTCCCTAATGCTAGACAAATGGCTTGGCACTCGCCTGATCTTTTACGCCCAGATACCAGTACTAGTTAACCTGCCGTGCGCGGAGATAACCTTCTTTAGCCTTGGCTTCGAGGACGACAACGGATCTTGTACCCACCGGATTTGGGGCGTGGCCATAGAAGCCCTTGGTAAATCATGATCGGCCCTGCTCAGCCATATGGTAACGCCTAAGTGCGTAAAGAAATCAAATCCAAATGCACAATGCCGACAAATTCGAGCAGCGACAGACCACCTGCCCACCGTGCTTCCCATATGTACGTAGCGCAGTAATGATATGATACAGGATATGCATTAATACTGTGGACGATAGCGTATATGAGCGAAAGCATTTTACACAGATGAGTTAGATGTCATCTCCGACAGGCAGAGCATTACGAATTTTGAACCGTGGGCGCGTGGTTCGCCGCCGCATCGGTCAAGCCAGCTACTGACATCGGAGCAGATACGGGAACGCCGCCTTGAGCGAGAGCACCCCCAAAGCCGGGGTTGGGTCGCGCATTTGTGGCAGGCATGCTACTGGCCTGGAAAGTCAATCCAGGGGCGTTGAAGAGGCCGTTTCTGTAGGACTGCGTAGAAGATAGCGAATGCGACGACCAAAAGGCGTCATATGTGAGTGTCGGATTGGGCGGAGCTTGTTGCGCAGACGAAAGCGCAGGGGTGACTGCGGTAAAAGAACCTAGCTGTCGATCATGTGATTGGGGTGATGAATGACTCTCTGAGGATTGAGGCTGGGTGTGCGCCGGCACCTGCAACTGGGAGAGGTCCTGCTGTTGTTGCGAAGGCGTGTGGAAATGAAACTCATACTGCAGAGGCTGGGCAGGGTAAAATTGATCTTGGCCTGCCTGCGGATAGCCGGGTCCGTTTGCACCGAACGACACGCTAGCAGGTTGGAAGTGTGTAGGCATGACCCCATTCGGTACCGAAGTGAAGGTCGGGTCAACCATGATGGGCGGAGGCGCCAGGCCGTTGGCACTCTGTGATGCTTCCGTATGTGGAGAACTCGCAGGAAACTGTGGGGTGAACATCGATGCTGCAGCCTGTTCGAGCGTCCCTGAATCCGGTCCTCTACGCGAACGCTCTGATTGCTGAACCACAGCATCAGATACTGCATGTGTTTCCACAGGTGGAATGGAGGATGGAACAGCAGGCCTCAGTGAGAGAGATACTGGAAGTGGCTCAGCTGTCGAGGGACAAACTCTTGGAAGGGTACGCACCGTCGTCAACTCCACCAGAAACACTACCGCTCTCGACAGTAGGGCCCAAGTTGAACTCCTTCTGCACGGGCAGCCTTTCCAGAGCGGCATCGTGACCATAGCAGATCTCGTTCACAGGGAAGAGCATGTTGGGCGTGTAACGGGCTGAATGGGATACCACGTTCCGTCGCGCGCCTGATTTAGAGGTCGTAGGCGGTCGACTCTTGTGTGTATGTCGGAAGTACAGATTCTCGACCTCGTTGAGAGTCTGCCTTTGCTAATGGAGAGGGACGTAAGTCGTTGGCAGAGCACTGCTACAGAGCACTCGCACCCATCCATGTTCGACCTTGAGCCTCGCGTACTGCAGCCGCAGCCTGAGCTGCCCACATAACTATGTGAGCGTGAGCAAACCAGCGAGCGTCGAGGAGCAGCCAAACCCCATAGTGGAGGGACATACGAGGATTCATCAGCATGCGTGCAGCGAGGAACGAGTCAAACAGCGGTACGGACGTAGTTGGCCTTTGCTCGCTCTGGGGTGATCTTGCGACGTTTATGGTCTATATGAAAGACAGCAGATCGTGGTGAGGGCGGTAAGTCTGCCATTGCGAGCGGCCAGAGGCCCTCTCGGGTGAAAGTCTCGGCGCCGAAGTAAGAGGCGGCAAGACACAGTGGCAGTCGCCAACATGCCAACACTTGGCAACAATAGGGCGATAACTGTAAATGGTTAAAAAGTGGATGTCAGTGACTATACTGATGACACTTTCCATTGGCTCAATGGTCTAGTCGTATGATTCGCGCTTCGGGTGCAGTCTTGTTCTTGAATATTTGCGCGAGGTCCCGGGTTCAATTCCCGGTTGAGCCCTTTTGTTTTGTCAAAACTGATGTTTGATTCTAGGTAGCTGCATGTTCCTCAAATTTGTGACCGAGGTTGTGCTGATGCAAGCCAAGCGTTTCCAACCCGATTCCAGCTTCGGACTCGTTAATGGCCCACCATACAGGCGTGTAAGTGACTTGCAATTGTAGTATCTCGGCATAGTCCTTCGAGACTGTCTGGAGCAGCTCTCTGGAGAAGAAACTACGGGCGTCAAACAATTCATTCTACAGGGCCATACCTCAGGTAACCATGAGGCTACATGGAGGCGGGGAGGTACGGTAAGAGGACAGTGGGACATGGCGTCACGGTCGGATGACCGGTCATGAGAAGGAGCAGTGGGGAGCTTTTCATTTGGGACGACTACGTTTCGCGTTGCTACCGGTTGGGCCTTGACGCGGTACAGATAGTCAACCTCAGGTATATACGCGATCGACGCAGAGTCAAGAAAATACATCGCTACAATTACAAATCACATCTAACAGTACAAACCTGACCATCCACGTTCATCATGGACCCTCGTACGTCGGCGGCGCACCATGTCCGACGAGAACCATGCTGTCCACAATCTCGTCGTGCTCCGTGCGCTTGTACGTTCGGATCGTCTCCCCGTACTCCGAGACGTCATACACGCGGAAGCGCCTATCGAACCCAATCTTGCCGTAGCCTGAATATGATCTGCGTAACAGGGAGTCAGCGCCGTGAAGATATAGCAGGACTGATCGACGAACCCTCCGCCGCCAAAGCACAGCCAGACACCCTTCATGCGCTTACAATTCTCGGTGACTGCGAGATGATATCAATGAGGCGTCTCAGCAGACGAAAGAAAAATACTCGCCATGACAGTGGCCGTTAGAGACGACCTTGACCTCACGTGCATTGCCACCAGCGCGGTGGTCGCTCTCCATCGCCTGAAGCAAGCCCTTGTGGAAGAACCCGTCTTGTTTCTTAGCGGATCCCTGCCCTTCGAGGTCATGTACGCCAACATCGAGCGGCTTGCCCGTGATTGGGTCCGTGTCTGCGGCTGCGTAGCTCTCTTCCCTTTTCACGATGAATCAGCCGTACTCAAGTACATATGTGGAGAAGGCTCGTACAGTGGGATGTGGAAGAACATGAGCGCGTTAGGTTTAGCGAGCCGTCTACTCTCTGGCGTGACCTGGCCGACGGCCTGACGCTTCCAAATGTCGCCGAGGTCTTTCGCGGTGTCAGGACTGAAGGGTCGCTCTATCGGGTCAATAGACGCTGTAGGAGGTTGATATCACCTCGCATGTGCATAAGAATCGGAGGGACGTACAGGACTCTTGCAAGAACCAATCAATTTGATCCTAGAACGACACCGGCATGAGCAGAGGGCTGCGCAAGAGGCGTAGCAGTCCGTACTTGATGGATCCAGTCATATTCAGTGGGGATGAAGAAACCGAACCAGTTCAGAAAGCCTTTAGAGTATGAGCCTGAGTCCAGGAAATACAACGTTAGGAGATGGACCATGGAGCTGTAACAAAATCAACATGAGTCGACAATACACGATGACCTTCGTCCGTACTCACGCATCAGCACTTTTCACTTTGAGCACGTAGTTACCGACACCGTGGATGTCCTTCGGACCCGCCTCGACCATGCTATACGGCAAGCCTTGCATGTACTTGATCTGCTGCTCTCGGCTAGCGTCCCCGTCCTCGTCATCATGGTTACCGAAAATGGCTGCCCACGGGATATCGCGCTGGGTGACGGCCTTCGCGAACTTTGCGAGCACGGAGCGCGCGTCCCAAGACGTGCCCTGTCCGTTCAGCTGGTCGCCCGAAAAGACGACGAAGTCTGGCCTCTCGGCGTCGAGCATGCGCCCGAGGAGGGTATCTGTGAGGTTATCCGAGTTACTGCATGGCGCGAGTGGCGTGTCCCGGCAAGAGCCCGCGGAGACAGAATAGTGCAGGTCGGCAATCTGCATGATCTTGAAGTGCCCATCGCGTGTAAAGTGCAGAGGAGGCGCACGAGGGGGTGCTAAGCGCAAGGGAACGTCAAATGGTGCGAGCACGATTGTGTAGAAGACGCACAGTGCACACCACGGCGGTACGTGAGCCAGACACTCTCCCTTTGGATGATGGTCTTGCTCTCGAGCAAAGGCGGCTCCAGCTTCTCGAACCCATACCACGGCTGATCGTCGCCAAAGAGTACGTCAAGCTCAGTCACCAGTTGCTGCTGTCGCTGACTGGCGGTCATCTGCGCGAGTGTCTTCTCCGTCTTGTACCAGAGATAGAGCTTGTCGCCGGACGGACTGATTGAACGCGAGACCTTATGCCAGGCATCGCTCATTGGAGTAGGCGTCTCCGGCGCAGGCAAAACACGCAGCTCTGTGACGAGGGGGATGTCATGCCGGCGCGTTCTGCGATAATAGATATTCTGCAAGGCATTAGCACCCAATATTTGTATAACAGAGCCACGAAACAAAATCAATTGCGGACGCGCAGAATACGATAACCACGAGGTATTGAACACCCTCGGCCGCTCTATGATACCATCGGACTCTCTGACCAAAAATCAATTGTTCATAAATAGAGAGCCGGTTACGGGTATAGGGTATCATCGCCCCGAGGTATACAGACATCATTTACCGGTTTGCTTGCCTCAGTCAAGATCGCGTCAAGACGTGCAGCTCCAAGGACGAAAATACTGAGGCAGACGACGCCCACGCCTAATGCGCAATCCTCCAAGCGTAGTATAACCAAGCTGAGCCTTTAAATTTGGTGCAGAAGAGCAACACTGCGAGTCGTCGATGATAGAGCAACCTTTGGTCTCATACGCCGCGCGTCCCCGGGCTCGTTCTGCAGCGAAGGTCATATACGTACTAAGCTCAGCAGCCCCGACTGCATGTTGAGATTTCGGGGTATGCGGACCCATTTGCCCTTGTATGCGTCGTCCTCCTTCGTCGTGGATGGTGCACAGAGATCGCCTGCGATAGACTCTGCGTACCAAGGGTCCACGAAGCAGCGCGTAATCTCAATCTCAGAGACTGCAGTCCATGTAAGCAATGGGGGCCGCACAAGTTCGATGTCTACGCACGGCCGGTATCATGCGGAAGCATGGGATCCCAGACGTCTAGAGGCAGACTGGCGGAGTCCACAGTAGGCTTCTCGGGCGTGGTAATGTTCCACCAATCCACGCCATCTACTTGCGACGGCGTACCTACAGCTGGTACACCAGAACTTCCACTTCCACTTGTGCCAGAGACAGAGACGTCGTTGACGATCTCCCAAGACTGCCAACCGACGCGCTGTTTCGCACCGGGACCAGCGTTGGGTTGGTAGAGCACGAAAAGGAATGTAAGAAGGCAGCTGAAAGCAACAAAGGCAGCAAGAGGAGAGAAGATTGACCTCAAGAATCGCCCAACCCGATAGAGAGAGAAGGCCATGGCGGAGGTGCGAGGCAGAGAACCTGCGCGAATCGGACGCTGGTGGTACTTAGTGCTCGCACTTCACGGAGAGCCGAGCTTACGTCACCAGGCGCAAGCACGTACAAATCCTTTTCCTTTTCTTTTTCCTTTTCCTTTTCCAGCAGCCCGCACGCGAATTGCAGCCGGCGAAGACGAGCTGCCCACTGCAGTGCCAGCAAGTCAACTGCACGGCGAGTCCGACATGCAGCACTGCTTTCGACGCCTCTATGCTACCATCCCCGATGCAGCTGCGGTGGCCCGGACAACATCCACTCCTCGCTCCGTACGCCTCCGCCGCCTACGCATAAAAAGGACCAAGCATCCCAAACTTCCCGTCGAGTCTGACGCAACATTAGAGGGTCTCACCCCGACCGAACTCGCACACTACAACCGTGCATCTGCGAAAGGCGAACTGTTGCAGGACAATGGAGAGAATCTCACGGCGAGCGAATGGCTCGAGCGACTGAACGCACAGAGGAGCAGGGTTCGCGGTGTGCGCCAGAAAGTGAACGAGGCGGGAGAGGTGGAGGAGCAGGTCGTCGGCCAAAAGATATACCTCCCCAACATTATCATCAAGTTCGTGCGCAACCATACGCCCCCCGGCCAGCCATACAACCCTTACGAGGCGACGTTCCGTATTCCCCCGTCCATGACGAAGACCGACCTGCGTTCGTACCTCTCCGCGGTCTATGGCGTTAAGACGACATACATTCGCACCGACAATTACTTGTCGCCCGTCACCCGCGACCCCCAAACACGGGCAATGACCCGGACTGTGCCGCACAAGACCTTCAAGCGCGCAGTGGTCGGGCTCGTCGAGCCGTTCTATTACCCACTCGCCATGGAGGACATGTCTGCAGAGGAGCGGGAACAGCGCGAGGACTGGCTGGAGGAGAACTTCCGAATCACGCAGTTCCAGCTTACGAGGCGTGCAGAACTGCTACGTCTGTACCAGGGTTCCCCGAAGAAACCGGGTGTCCCGACTCGCAGGGGCGATATTCTACAGCATATCGCAGAGAGGAGGGCTGAGCGTGAGCACGCCATTGCTCAGGCGAAGGAGGAGATGCGCGGTAGCAGGAAGGTCGCGCAGACGCATGAGACGCGGAGTGACGGGAAGATTGAGGAGGTCACTGTATGATGATGCATACGACAGTTCTCTACGTTGTTATGGATCATTTGGGGCTTTGACACATTTCTTCTTCCTCGACCGCATGCTGTACCCTGAGGCACAATTCCACTCTGCCTCAGCACAAGTAGTTCAATCACAACTGAATCAGAAGCCAAGCCGTGTGCCAGTTGACTCCGCCGACATGATCAGCTGCCCGCTATCCTTCTCCGTCAGGCCGTTGTTAGCCATTCTTACGCTCTACGAGCCGTAGCTCCGTCGTTGAAGGTGAGTATTTTCCATTTGATATATCTTCTTTAGCCTATCCTGCCGTATACTATCATCCAGGCTCAGTGGCCAAATGACACTTCGTGACAGCGTAGCTACGGCCGAGGCACACCAGAGCGCCTAGCGGACTATGTATTCGATGTGCCACGAGGTGGCCGTTGACATGCGGTA